ATTCAAATACTTGTGCAACTCTCTAATTCTCTTATATTCAACAAAATAATACGGCAAATCATGTTCAATAATGCTCATGCTTATCATTTCACGGACCACATTATAATCAATTTTTTTTGCACGCAACTTTCCTTCATGATCAATTAACATAGAACCCACATCATTATATTTAGGATTTACTTTACAAGAAGCTAAATGACGGGATAAAGTTGATGTTCCATATTGGTGTGGCCCCATAATATAATCTTTATGACAATATTTGCATTTAGCCCTTTGTTTATCACCAATTTCAATTACATCAAAATGATTCCACACATATGAAGTTTGACGTCTTTTCGTACCTCTTTTTTGTGATTCTAAATTTTCAGCTTGTTCTGAAGGTTTAGGTGAAACCGGTCTGTCCCCCGGCATATTAACTTCACAATCAACATTGATATAAGTGTTTGGAGAACTTTGCTGTTGAGAATCCATCTCTCTGCCATTAAAAAATATTAAAACAATGTTAACATAACATTAAAACAATGTTAACTCAATGAGCTCTATTTAACATGCTAATTTAACATTAACATGTTAATTTAACACAACTCTATTTAAGTATTTAACAGTGTTGAAGCATGTTAATTTAACATTCCTCTATTTGGGGGTAATTCAATTTCCCTAGTGCTAAAGATAATCTGATATCATATAGAAACTTTCAATATAAACTTTAAATTTGAGCCACAACTATTTTGAATATATCTAGAGGCTTGCTTGTAAGCTGTAAGCAATATATAGGAAATTGACTTCAATCCTTAACTATTATATACGAAAAAATTAAATATTAGCTAGAACGAGAAGTGTTCAATTTTTATTTGAATTATAAAATTTTCTATGCTTTCAAAAATTATCAAACAAATCCAACTACAATTTGTTTCTTCACAGCTAAAGGTAGAGTAAAGATAGAGGAATCTAAAAAAGAATCAAGTGAAAACTCTTCTTTATCCTATTGTAGTTTTCAAATGTAGTAGCACAACTTAAAACCATACACACTCAGAAAGAATTAACACACTGTCAACAGAAATTTTCAGAACATTCATGTTAAAATACCTACTGAAATAAATTTCGCTCAATTTGAAATAGCAATCAAACAAAAATTAGGTAGCATACTTACAAGTTACAAAGACCATATATACTGGACAAATCCTAGGACAACTTACCCGAAACCCGAAGACTGACTCGGAGAAGAAGAAGAAATCGAATTAGTGGTGGACGGTGGCGATCGGCGGTGGACGGTGGCGATCGGCGAGGATGGACGGTCGGCCAGTGATGGGTGAACAGCGGTGGGCGATTGGGCGGTGTTTAGTTTCTGGCCTCTGGGTTCGCGAATCGCAAGGAAGAGATGTGAGGTGTAAGTCTGTTTGTTTAATTAAAATTATAGAATATATAAGGGAGTAAGGGGCGTAGGGACGGTAGGGTATGGTTTATTCTGAATTCTACTAAAAAAGAATTAAAAGTTTTTTTTTTTTAGGCTTAGCCCGCGGGTTGACCGACAACCCGCGCGGGCCGAGCCCGTTAGGCCCGCAATTTTGCTGGCCAGTTTTTTAAAGGCCCTAACCCGCCCCGTAGTGTGGTGGGTGCGGGCCAACTCGCGGGTTTTAGCCCACTTTGACAGCCCTAGTCATGGCGAAGCCAACAAGTCTAGTGCAAACAAAATAAATAAAAAAAAAAAGGAACGTATTGGCAACAACCCGAGCAACGAGATAACACCAATCTAAGCAAAACAAAAGAGATAGTCTATGCAAGCAATTAAATAAAGATAAGGGGCCGCCAACTCTAAAGGACATCAAGGCCGCGTAGCCTCGCGGGCACCGTCATCGCCACCCAAATCAGCCTGAGTCTCCTCCTACGGGTCATCCACGCCTGCAAAGCGAAGAAGGTCAGTCGCGAAGTCCGCACTCGACGAGCGGTCGGCTGCCGAGTCCAACGGTTGGGGCGCGCCACCCTCTCCCACCGCCACGTCTATGGGATCACCTGGCTCCTCCTCCAACTCCCCGGGCAGGCCCCACGCCACGGGGTCAAAGGATGCGTCTCTGGCGCGAAGGATGGAATAGATCTTGCTCTGCATGGAGCACTCCCCCGCCTCGTACATCTCCAACCCCTACAAACCCACACACTCATTCCCCTCGGGGAAGCTCGTGAAATAAGTCAAGGTCTCCTGGGGGTGCGCGGAAATATAGGCCTTCGCATCCTGGACAAAGGCTTGGGAGTCCTTGTAACCCGTAACAGCCACCTCGAAGCCTCTTTCAGGGCCTCTGATGCGCTGCGCGCTCCTGCGACCGGTTGGCAATCAACTCAGCATACTGACCCTCCAGCGCCACAAGTTTGTCGCTCACGTCCTGGCGAGCCCACATCTCGGCCTCCAGCTGACCGCGGGTACTCCCTAGGACCTCCTCCATGGACACGGAACGGGCAACCGCCTACACAAGGACAAACATAAGTAGAAGACAAGATAACAAGGAACAAGAAAACACATCATCATCAGAAAGGGGTACGTACCTCTAGCAAAGGGCGGAAAATGGCATGGTCCTCGTGCATGGCCGTGTCGCGGGGCAGGCGGAGGCTGCGCATAAAAGCCTCCGGTGGGACATCCCCACAAAGTATTGAGGCAGTATGAGGGAGGTGGACGGACCAATCAGTCAAGGCACCTTGATGCGGCGCCGTGGTCATCGGAGCTCGAGCAGGGGGGTCGGCTGGACGACCATCCGACAAGTGGTCCGCGTCAGTGGCGGACCTCGTCTCGCGTCGGCGCGATACCCAGGGACCTGGGGGAACCCGGACGCCAGAGGTAGCATGGCTAGTCTCGCAAGTCTTGCGGCGCTTCGGGTCCTCGCCGCCACGGTTCCGCAAGCTCTCAATAAGGTTCGTGATGGCGGCGCGACGGGGAGCCATACCTAAACCAAGACAAGTCAGTAAGAACTTCAAACGAAAACGCATAAACAAACAGGCACACAGGCACGTCGACGAGGTGACAAACCAGAACTGGTAGGAGGAGGCGTCGAATGTCTGGCTAGCAACTTAATAACGTCGTCATCCTCTGAATCGTCGCTCGAAGACTCCTCCTCGGTCTCCCCCGTGGAGTCTGGAGGGGGGGCAGGAGCACCACGAGGAGGCGGAGGAAGGAGGTCGCGAGAAAAGCCCGCCCTGACCAAAGACTCGTGATCAACGAGGGCCTGGGAGTCTAACATATCAGCTGTCTCACCCAAAAACTCCTGGGCCAGGGCGTGAAGCTCCGGGGTGGACCTCGGGCAATGGCACTTACGAAAGTACCCTTTCCAAGGCACCTCAAAAGGGTGCACCTCGCCTGTAGAGACAAACACGAACTGGGGCTTCCAACCCTTGTTGAAATCCCGTACGTGTCCCATAATCTTCGTCCCCGGCCGAGCCGAAAACACCATGTACCCCTTGCTCTCCTTAGACGAGGAATTAGTCGCGTGGAAAAAAAGAGTGGAAAAGGTCCAGGTTAGGGCGGATACCCACCTCGACACACCGAACAATAAAGGCCGCCACCGCCCGATGGGAGTTAGGGACTAGCTGACCCACAGATATACGATGAAAGTTCAGGAGCTCAATGGTGAACGGGTGAAGCGGGAAATCTAAACCCATGCGGAGAGATGTAACATGGACCGCAAAAAAAATTTGGTCCGGGAAGCTCTAGTATAGTTGTCCCGGGAGGCGGGACGTGGACCACAGCCGACGGGCCGACCAAGGCCTTCGCCATGGCGATATCGTGAGGATTCAAGGAGGACCCGAATCCCCGAGGGATGGCGGAGTCAAGTACGGTGTACTGATTCAAGGGGAAGGGATCCGAGAGTGGCGTAGGAGTCAACATGAAGGGGGGATGCGTGGCTAACGGATCTATGTACGGGTACTCAATGTAATTGATGGAATAATCATGGAGCCGGAGCGAAGCAGGACAATACGAACCGGGTCGGACCCCGTGCCCACCCGCCTTGCAGGACGAACCACCCCGGGGTCGGCCCAGTGGGGGGTCGGCGCGAGCCGACCTCCCCGAGCTGGGGCTCGGCCTCCCTATTATCCTTCATAGACAGCAATGACAAGATTCGGGTCAAACACCCACAACTCGCAGGGTTCGCGTCACACACGCGACCTCTCCCTCGCCAACCACCCCAACGGAACCACAGCAAGTCGGCAGACCATGCCCGTAGGGGCGGGAGGGGACCTCCCAGATCAGATCAACGGGAGGACCTCTGGGGTCGTATCACCAACAATCGCCCTCTCGGCGGGACGGCGCCACCCACTCCACCGTAGGTCCCGACCTCCCAGGAAGATGCCGGCATACTCGAGCAGGCGGCGAACGCACTCAACCGCATCGCGGGTGGGCTGCGCCGGGGAGACCCAGCACCCCCACCTCCGCCCCCTCCGAGGGCGCGCAGTGGCCCCAGCACTCACGCACCCCGGGTGTCCGCAGCACTAGCTGAGGTAGAAGTCAATTCACCCCGACCTTCTAAGAGGCACGACGGGGCGGAGGCAACCCGAGGGCGACACGAGCAGCGAGAGGAAGGGCGGACTCTGCCGGTGCGAACCACATCCGCGCTCGGGCGGTTGGGCCAACGTGCGCCGGCGTGAGACCGCCTAGGGCCGAGGCCGGCCACATACGCCAAGCAGGAGGAGTCGTCGTGCTCACGGAGGTCCCGGAGCCACGAACCTCATGTCCCGGGGCCGCAGCAGCCGACCCCACCAGTGGAGCGCTTGGGGGAGACCAGAGGCCAACCTCCGAGCACCCAGCTTGACGAGATGGAACAACTGCGCCGACAGATGCGCGAGTTGCAACGCAAGATGGAGGCGCGCGACGAGTCACCAGAGCCCCGGGACACCCTGGCCACACCCTTCACGGGAACATCATGCCCGAGCCCCTACCTCGGGACTTCCGATTCCCGACCATCAAACCCTACACAGGGGCGACGGACCCGCGAGACCACCTCAACAGGTACAAGGCAGTCATGATGATGACAGGCGTTAATGACGCCATCATGTGTCGTGGCTTTTGCACGACTCTAGACGGGCAGGCCCAAGATTGGTTCGGGTCCTTGCCAGTGGACTCCATCCCCACTTTCGCGATCCTGACTAAGACGTTCATGTCACACTTTGCGGGCAGCATACAACGGCGGAAGCAGTTCGCTGACCTATGTTACCTGAAGCAACAGAAGTCAGAATCCCTGGCGGAGTACCTGAGTAAGTGGAAGAAGGAAGCCATGGGGGTGACGAATTTTGACGAAAGGTCCGCCATCCCGTTTTTCACCAACAACCTCAGGTCGGGTCCTTTCCACAGTGACCTTGTCCGGAATGAGCCAAAGACGTACACAGAATTGATGGACCGCGCCTCGCGGTACGCCAACGCGGAGGCAGCAGAGAAGAGGAAGAAGGAGGAGGAGGAAGGCCGCGAACGGGGTGACAGGGCACCTCAACCTCAAGAGGATCGCTGCACTCCCCGGTCTCGCCGGGATCGGGGCCCCCGACTAGCCCCACTACGACACCTGACCCCGTTGACACAACCTGTAAGCGTCATCCTGGACCACGCAGAGGACATGGGCATCGTGTCGTTCCCCGAGGAGTGCTTAAAGATCTCCCCCAAGGCCGACCCGAAGAAGTACTGACGCTTCCATCGGCAACGCGAACATGACACCGACGAATGTATGGTCCTCAAGAGGCAGATCGAGGAGCTCATTCAACGAGGATACCTGGGGCAGTACGTGAAGAGGTCCGGGTAGGACCACGCTAAAAGCCCCGACAACGCTCGGAAGAAGAAGGATGGTACCGGGCCCTCTACCTCTGCCCCGCGCAAGAGAGACCTCGGCCAACTCACGGAGGACGAGGAGACCGAGCCGGACAGCCCACCAAAGAAGAAGGTCATCCATGTCATCTTTGGCGGCCCGGAGGGAGGGGACACACCCGCCGAGAGGAAGAAGTGGGCATGAAGCCTGTACGTAGGGGAGGTCGTCCGAGCACCCCATGAGAAGAGGACACGCAGGGAGCCCATAACGTTCACCGACGACGACCTCCTGGATGGCCCCCTACCCCACCGGGACGCATTGGTAATCAGGTTAGAGCTCAAAGACATCATTGTCCACCAGGTACTGGTACATACGTGGAGCTCCGTGAACGTCATGTATTATGACACCTTCACGCAACTCGAGCTATCCAGGAAGCAACTTTCCCAGGTTCGGACCCCGCTATCCGGCTTCACCAGAGACTCCATTGAAACGGAGGGATCCGTCACTCTTGATCCGTCAAGACATGGGTGGTAGAGTTCGTGGTGGTGAAGATCAGCTGCGCCCACAACATCATCCTCGGCAGACCTGCCTTGGAGGACCTCAGGTGCGTCATCTCTAAAGAGCACCTTTGCTTCAAATTTCCTACCCCCGCTGGAGTGGGCATCGCGCGAGGAGACCAGAAGATTAGTCGGAGCTGCTACTTGAAGGCCTGCCGCAAAATAACGAGGAAGGACCTCCAGGTACACACAGTAACCGAGAGGACCCTTGGAGAATGAGAAAGGGGGGCCAAGTTGAATTGCCCGGAAAAAAAAAACAAGAAAGACACTAAGATTTATAGTCATTTCCCTTGAAAGCTTCCATAGCTTTATGTGAAAGGTGAATCCACCAACTACGGTTATGTTGGACCTCCCAACGCCCAAAAACTCTAAAACCAACACTGGTGCCGTCTATGGGGACGTGACAAAAGGTCGTGTTTACCTCTTTGATCTGAGCGAATTCGGGAAGCCGGAGAGAGGATTTGACATGAACCAAAGATCGAAACTATGGTTGGAGAACAGAGCCATGCCTCGGGAAACCGTAGCGCACGAAACGCAAGATTGGATCCGCGAGAACACAAGGGAGTCAACGGAACTCACGGGGGCAGGAGGAGGACTCGGTGCCTCGACCACCGCCGTTGCCCATAGTACCGCTCACACCAGCACAAATAGATGTTATCGCTCGAGCGGTAGCCGACCAAACACGAGGGAGAAGAACCTCGTCGAGTCCCCAGTCGTCCCGAGAGCGACCGCGCAATCAGGGCCATCCCCTGGAACATGAGAACAAAATCCGGGAAAATTGAGGGCAGGACAGTCAGCCGGTTCGGTCTGTGCATTCGAGGTTGGGCCCCAGCGTCACTCGGTGTTCTGTGCGAGAACGACTGGGGAAAAAAGCAACCAGCCGAGTCCGACCAACCGGCAGGACCGAGAAGCTACCAGAGAAACGATAGGCTGCTCAAAGAAGACCAGGGCTCAGAGTCGACGAACCCAGAAGCAGGTAATGGAAGTCGGACCACAGGATGAGTCTCAAGAAGGCGAAGGCACCGAATCCACAGGAAATCGGACAGGGAACCCTGATGAAATGGCCTACTTAGCGCAAGAAATACGCAATCTGAAATATCAAGTGGAGGGTAGAGTCAACTCACCTCGTCGAGCCTTGTTCACCGCCCTGCCGTTTTCGACAGAGATCATGTCATTTAAGATACCAGGTGATTTCAAATTCCCGGAACAAGCTACCTTCAATGGGACAGGCGACCCTCGCGAACATCTCTTAAGTTACCAGGCTAAGATGCAAGTTCTGGGGGTCAAGGATCCGGTCATGTGCGCCTTCCTACCGACTCTGAAAGGTCCTGCCCAGAGATGGCTCATCGCCCTTCCCCCAGGATTAATCCGCAACTTTGAGGGCATGGCTGGCCGTTTCATGAGTCACTATGCGGCCAACATCAAGCCTCAGAAAGATCTCACGCACCTCGGCGACATCCATTAAGAGGAGGGAGAGTCGCTCAAAACTTACTTGGCCCGATGGCGAGATTCAGGCTATAGGGGAACTCGAGGACCAAATCGCGCTCACATTTTTCATCGAGTCGCTTCGATCCGAGCAATTGTACCGCGACCTGCAGGACAATCGATCGGCCACATACGTGGAAGCCATCCACATGTTCAATAAGCGAGCCAATACGGAGCAAGTGATGAAATACAAGCGATGGCGAGAAGTCGGTGGGACTTCTGGGCCCAAACGAGTAAGGGGTGAGACGAGGGAAAAGCACCGGGGAGACTCGGCATGAGAAAGAGAAAAGAAACAAAGGCACTGACCTTTAGACGTTACTTAGAAAAAGTCAAAGGTCGCCACGACTGAGGGACTTGGCAAGAGAAAAAGAGAATAAACAAGGGCACTGATCCTTAGACGTTTCTTAGAAAAAGTCAAAGGTCGCCTCGACTGAGGGACTCGGCAAGAGAAAAGAGAAAAGAAACAAGGGCACTACCCCTTAGACGTTTCTTAGAAAATGTCAAAAGTCGCCTCGACTGAGTGATACGGCAAGAGAAAAAGAGAAAAGAAACAAGGGCACTGACCCTTAGACGTTTCTTAGAAAAAAGCCAAAGGTCGCCTCGACTGAGGGACGCGGCAAAGAAAAGGAAAAAGACAAGGCTCAAACCCTTAGAGGATGTTTGGTTCATGGAAAATGTTTTTCAAAGGAAAATATTTTTCAAGTGGAAAATGTTGTTTTCTAGTGTTTGGTTTATGGAATTCATTTTCCATTAGAAAACGAATTCCTCAAATTTGAGAATAACAAAATCCTTGGTTGGACCAAAGATTTTGTCTTTCATAAAAAATGGGAAGAAAAAGTAGATATGAATTGCCTATTTTACCCTTGTTTTTTTTTTAATTATATTAACCTTATTAATTTATATGGGTATATAGGTCTTTATACTCATTATTCCTTACAATTCCAAATCTAACCAAACAATAGAATTAGTATTCTCAGTAATTCTTTTTCCATCAACCAAACAATGAAATTCATCTTCCTAGTAATTGTTTTTCAATTGAATTTCAGTTCCACTTCCCTTAAAATATTTTCCGCGAACCAAACGAGCCCTTAGAAATTTTTATCAAGAAATGCATATGCATATGAGTAAAATAAAGAAGGCAAAATGGAAGTAAAAAACGCATCTTATATTGAAAATTCAAAAAGGGGACGAAGCCCCATTACAGAAACAAAAGAAAGAGAAGTATAAGGACCCTAGTGTAAAGGGCTGTAGACATAGACGAGGGACTCGGCAAGAAAAGAAGGAAACAAGGGCACTGACCCTGAGACATTTCTTAGAAAAAACCTACAGGGGTCGCCTCAACTGAAGGATTCGGCGAGAAAAGAAAGAAACAACGGGGCACTGACCCTAAACTGTTTCTGAGATAGAAAAAGCCTAAATGGTCGCCTCGACTGAGGGACTCGGCAAGACAAGAAGGAAACAATGGCACTGACCCTTAGACGTTTCTTAGAAAAAGTCTACAGGGGTCGCCTCGACTGAGGGACTCGGCGAGAAAAGAGAGAAACGACGGGGCACTGACCCTAAACTATTTCTGAGATAGAAAAAGCCTAAAGGGTCGCCTCGACTGAGGGACTCGGCAAGAAAAGAAGGAAACAAAGGCACTGACCCTTAGACGTTTCTTAAAAAAAAAGCCTACAGGGGTCACCTCAATTGAGGGACTCGGCGAGAAAAGAGAGAAACGACGGGGCACTGACCCTAAACTGTTTCTGAGATAGAATAAGCCTAAAGGGTCGCCTCGACTGAGGGACTCGGCAAGAAAAGAAGGAAACAAGGGCACTAACTTAGACGTTTCTTAGAAAAAACCTACAGGGGTTGCCACGACTGAGGGACTAGGCGAGAAAAGAAAGAAACGACGGGACACTGACCCTAAACTGTTTCTGAGATAGAAAAAGCCTAAAGGGTCGCCTCGACTGAGAGACTCGGCAAGAAAAGAAGGAAACAAGGGCACTGACCCTTAGACGTTTCTTAGAAAAAGCTTACAGGGGTCGCCTCGACTGAGGGACTCGGCGAGAAAAAAAAAAAAAAAAAAAAAAAAAAAAGAAACGACGGGACACTGACCCTAAATTGTTTCTGAGATAGAAAAAGCCTAAAGGGTCGCCTCGACTAAGGGACTCGGCTAGAAAAGAATGGAACAAGGGCACTGACCCTTAGACGTTTTTTACAAGAAGTATATGGAGTCGCCTCGGTTGAGGGACTCAGCGAGAAAAGCCCCAAGACTCGAAAAATTACGCAAGATGCAAAATACAAAGAAGCAGAAAAGATGACGTTTTTATTAATAAGGGTCCAAAGGGAGGACCAGCCCTTACAAAAAAAAAAAAAAAAAAAAAAAAAAAAAAATTGCGAAAGTCTAGACTACGGAGGGAGACAATGTGGCTTCAGTCCCCTCGACCTGCTCCTCTGCCGATGGTTTAGCTGGAGGGGCGGTCGAAGGGTCTTCTGCTTGCTAAGGCACGTCAGTAGGCGCAGCCTGACGCCGGCAGAACTGGAGGAGGAGAGACAATGCCGGTCGGGGCCCCAGGCGCTGGCAGTAGCTCGATTACTGACTTGAGACCCCAGCCTTCAGGAGTGAAAGAAGGGTCGCGAGCCAGCAGAGTGGCGTATATCTCTAGTTGAGCCTCACGGTAGCCCAAGCAAAAGTCACGCTCGCCGAGATCGAGCAGATAGTCGTCGCCCTCTGAAGTTGCCAGCCATTCTTTCGCTAGCTCCCCTTGACGACCCGCTATCGCCGACTTCACATCCGCTTCGAAAGCTGCCGACCCCTTATACTCGGCAACTGCAGCAATGGCCTTGTCCCGCTCCTCCTCCCACAAGTGAGTCACCCGTAGGAGCTCGGCTGTATGAATCTCCCTCTCCTTGACAAAATCCGCCTGCTCCTCCTGGCGGGCCTCATCCGATTGACGCAGGCGGACATTGAGGTAATGTATCCCAGCTTTGAGGGCCTGGATCCGCTTCCTCATCTCCAGCTGGAAGGCAAGGTTCTGGGAGGAGACCATGTTAGACAAAAAAAAGAGTCAAAGAACTAGATCGAAGACTCACCCGATAAGATTGGCGCATAGAGGTCTCCAAGATATACTCGTCCTGCTTCTTGTTCGCCGCCTCCACGTCCTTCGGGAGAAGTACGTGCTCGGCCCAGTTTTGGACTGAGTAATCACCCTGCCATATTTGGGCGTCCTCGTTGAGCTCCAAGCTTATCCGAATCTTCTTGGGTGGAGGTGCGTCCGGTTGCTCCAACAGACGTTTGGAACTCGGACTTCCCACTGGGGCAGAAGGTGGAAGTCGAGAAGGAGAAGCTGTCGGGGAGGTCGACAAATCCACAACGTTTCTGGGTGGAGTCGTACGAGGCACAGGCACAGGGGTCGAGGAAGAGGTCGTCGGAGATCCGGTCGAGCGCTGCGTCAGTCGGCGCCTCATTTTCTCTGCACGGTCGGCCATAGCGTCAGTCAGAACTTCAGCTTCTTCAGAGGAAGTGGACGTGGAGTCGTCGAGACCTGCACATTACGCAAAAAAAAAAAAAAAAAAAAAAAAAAAAAAAAAAAAAAGGGGCTAAGACGAGCAGAAAAGGAAAAGGTCTAGTAGAAGACTACCTGTGGTGGCTGCCCCAGTAGGCAAAAGACCCCATTTGGCCATAGCACGAAGTCGTGACCAATGTTTGGCAGAGTAGGGTCCCATGCTCTTAAGGGCGCAATCCAGCCATTAAGTGCAGACGGAAAATGGGAAGTAACGGAAGCAATTTCGCATAATACAAGTACTTTCTAATACTCGAGCAAGAAGGGCCCGGTACCTGAAAGTGAGAAACTAGTTGATGGGGTACGGACCCAATGGGCCTAGGGCCCGAAGAGGAAAGAAGATAGGAAGGGGTGGAGATTGGACCCACAAGAGATCGACCCCAACGAAGAGGAAGAAAAGCCCAGAAGTAGACATAGACGAGTCCAGGAGGTCGGCTCGAGTGGAGGGTCGGCACGAGCAGAAGTCGGCTCAGCAAAATAGCCATTGGCATTTAAGAAGCCCTTTAAAACTCGGTCAAACAGGACGTTGGGAGGCCCTGTAATGACAGCCCAACAGCCTAAGTGTAAAAAGCCACATTATGGCACTTGAATGTATACGTTTAAATTAATAAGGGTGACCTCCTATAAAAAGGGCCCTCGGAGAATGTAAAAGGGGGGCCAAGTTGAATTGCCCGAAAGAAAAGACAAGAAAGACACTAAGATTTATAGTCATTTCTCTTGGAAGCGTCCATAGCTTTGTGTGAAAGGTGAATACACCAACCACAATTGTATTGGACCTCCTTGGGCCAAAAACCCTAAAATCAACAATTATTCTTATCCATTTTCATTATTCATTTACCTATTCCTTTTATTATTGGGTTTGATCATTCAGACCCCCGGGATTAATTAAATTCATCAGTAATGCTAAAAGTGCAAAAAATGTGATGTTAGAAGAGTTTCTCGTGGTGATTAATATAAGAGGTTTTAGGTTAAAAGTGGGAAATTGTGCAGCATGTTAGAACAGAGATAGAACATAGAAGTTACCAGTTATTACTTCTAATGTTGCCTCTTCCTTTTTCCACACATCTTCAAAGTTGGCTCCATTCTTAAGCTGGTTCCAATATCTGATTGGTCATATTTAAGTGCTTTAAAAACAGCTAATTTAAAAGAAAAAGTAAGAAGACATATACTTTACATTCAATTATACCTTTGCCATCACTGATTCAATATGATGTAATAGTTGCCTTGCATTCAATTTTTTTGAGCCCTTCAAGATACTTATTGCAGAATTCAAAATCATCTTAATCTCTTCTCGAGAATCGATAGATTCACAAATCTGTAGAAGTTCCATGATGTGTGAAACAAGATCTGTCCTTGAATCACAACGGCGACAAAAATACTCTGCATCCAAATCATAGCTTCCTCGTACAGTTCCAGCCATATGCGCCCGAAGAGCACAGTCTAAGTGAGCAATGTGCCCACAAATGCAGCCATCAAGCAAAATCGCTTTACATCTAATGTAATTACAACTACCAAATGCTGAACAAATAGTCTTAGAACAAAGAATACAGCAACAGTTTCGGCAAAAATCAGGTTCACTGCAGCAAATGTCACAAAACATGGCTTCCGGCAGAGGAGGATCAGATACTACTGATAAACTGATACACATGTTGTTGCCAGCCTTACAAGTGTGTGATAAATGAGAGTCAGCCCCCAAAAGTTCTGCTTCCACCAAAGATGATGCAAACTCATTGTCAACAACCATAACATAGCAAATAAAACATAAATAAATGAAAATTTAGAAAGCATATTCTCTATTCTGAAAATATGTTGAAAACATTGTTCAATAAAAGACATTAAGAGAGAAGAAGAAGCTAGAAGTAAACCTAGTTTTACTCAGCAATCCTCTCAAGAACAATAAAAATGGAACCGAGCAGCAATCTGTCTTTATACTGCCTCGGTTTTACTACAAACCTATAATAAGGTAGACTTTGCATGAAATTAAACATAAAAATAAACGTTACACCTAATGATCACAAAATTTCTCCTTTGACAAATTTAATTTAGATTCTCACTTGTTACAGGTCTTGTGAGTCTCATGCAGGGATCCCCAAGATCCCAAAATTTTTTACTGAAAAGTTTGAATAATAGCTTAAAAACCCAATGGTCTAATAACATATGCATGAATTACACACAGGAAAAAATAATGGATACTTTCAGTGTAAAATAAACATCAAGTATACTACATCTTGATTTAAAAAAAAAAAAAAAAAAGGATCCTTGAATTGATAAGGATAAGAAGACTTCACAAAAGCCAACCTGTTGAATTGAACTCCTTCAAGGGAATATTCCACATGAATGATGAAAAGAAAGCATTCATATCTGTGCCAGGAAATGTTGATTGGACATATCGCTCAACTGAAATTTTGCTCCGAAAACACTTTGGCTGTCCAGCTTTCTCAAGACGGCTTGGTAGATAAAGGTATCTATCCCAAATATAGCCAGAACCTATAACTCTTTTTCCCACCTTCCAACGCCACTTATCGCCTGGTTTAGGCCAATCTTCAGGGGCATAAGGCAAGCCTTCACCTGAATCACCAGGAAATGTCTGCCTGGGAGTGCATCTGACATTTTTATCTCGACTGTCAAAGTCCATTGATCAATTCTTAGCTAACAATTTGCAGATTTGTTCAACTGCATGCAAAGCAATGTAAACATTAATTTTACCTGAACAAAAACAGCTAAAATTTTATAATAGTGTTTCTAACATATATGTATAGCAGTCAGATATACGTCTTGGACTGATTAGAAAGAGAAAAAGAAGTTGGCACTGCTGCAGGAAAACGTTTGAAGTTCAGTCAAAGTGAAAATTTTCTTTAATGGATATAAGTAGTGTCAAGTTAAATGCATCTAAATTAGTTTCCTCCAAAGAAGCTATGAGGGTAGCAGTTCCACTTGGAAGTACTGATTATTTTCATATTATCATGTACCTTTTGTTTTTACATTTTTAACAGGATGAGTTCTGGAAGTACTATTTATAATTATTTCATATATTCCTAATATGCGTGATTGTGAATAAAAAGTTAGTCCTTTCACTGACAAAATTAGTTAGCTATTCATTTCATTTCCAACTTTTCCTCCATAAAAAATACTCTGAAGAGACAGATAAAATGGAAAGTGTATTAAGAAAACAAAAATAAATGGAGGGCATAAAAGTTTAAAGGTTGGGTACGGCAAACAGAACGGCAAATTATATGGGAGAAACCGAGAAAACCCTAAGGGAAAATCTCATTTGGTTGGAATCTCAAATTAACAAAAATAAAGCAGTCAAAACGTTACTGTTAGAAATCCTACAAGTGCATGTGAAATTATGACCTTCAAAATAGAAGTACTTGACTTTTTTGCATAACAGTAAAATGGATATGCACCTCCGTGCAACACTCTACAGTTCTACAATTATCATGATTCACGCATATAGCACCATGAACTCTAATAGCTAGATGCCTTATGTTTGATAATTTAATAACATGCTGCAAGAACACAGTTATCAAATTCCAGGTAGGATTACACCAAGCCATTAAATCATTCAGCAGTGCTGATTTCAGAATAGATCCTTGTGCTGTATTTAACTGATCAGCAATCAAAAAAATTCAAAACCCTCAGGCTCAAAGCAGTTGCTAGAGCGACTAGTTCTTGGCTTGTCCATGTTGATTTACCAGGATTTCCAACTTGTGAGTTCATTTTCTCCATCCTAGCATAGATTCTAAATTCTAACATGACCCCTTTGATAAATCCCCGATGGTGTTGCTCCACAAAGAATAACTTATAAATTTCAGAAGACTCAATTATTTGAGTTACATTGATCCTTATGGGCCAACAGAATTGTGAAACGTGCAACATCATTTTATTGTAAAGATGACTCTAGATGAGAGTAAAGGGGAAATAAAGAGTGATTCATGAATAGAGAACCCCATCGATTTTGTTACAATCTTAAGATTATACATTAATGCGCCATCTGAGGAAGGGCTTTTGCACTACAATTTGCAGAAAGCGACCAACAACGCTCACACAAACAGAGACATACGTACATAGAACAGCGCTATCAAACCTAATAGGAATCTAAGTTCCGTGATGATCAGAACGGGAAACACAAATGAAAACGATGACACAATCAAATGCTAACGAAAATCATTCGCAAATGCGTATATATGTCTGTGTATAGATGTATATACAAGAAGAGAAATGGATATACCTGCGCTGCCGGACAACGGAGTGGCAGTTCTGCTGTGAATTCCGATTCGGAAACCTAAAACCTCTGAAAGAAGAGCGGGTGCTGGTGCGTAGTTGCGTACAGCAAACCTCTGCTGTGAACTTTTTCTTCTCATCGGCTTGCTAAGTTGCTACATTCTAATTTCTAGTAGCCAGTAGCCCAGTAGCCACCCCGTCCCCCGAGTCCCGACTCGACGGATGGACGTCTGGATATCCACCATTCTTTTTATTTTATTAAAATAATTTTAAGAGAAATTTATAATATTTTTTTATATACTCAGTATTAGTTTGAGTTTTTTTTCAAAATGGTCCATTCACTATTTCTCATTCTCAATTTTACATTTTGACTTTTAATTGCACCCAATGTTGTCCCTTGACTTTTAAAAATTCATCCAAATTGGTCATTTGTTAGATTTTGCGTTAACTCAAAGTTAATTGTAAGGGCAATTTGGTCAGTTCACATCGGTGCGGAAGGCAAGTACCAACGTCGACTGTAGATTAATTTTTGATGTCACATGTGACGTCGTAAATGTTGGTGATAATGAACCAATAATCGATTTAACATCGTAAAATAATATTTATATATACACACACGAAGTATATAAAATATTATTCGATATATATATATCCGAAATATATATATATATATATATATATATATATATATATATATATATATATATATATATACACACACACACACACACACAAATATATATATAAATCATACCATCATGGTTATATGCATGAATATCTACAGAAAAGATATATACATATCAACCAAATGGAATTTATAATCCACAGCTTATAATTCCAACCAAACTAAATCAGAAGAGGAGGATTTTTGCTTAGAAGCATAATCCAAAACTGAAAGAAGGAAAGATGGCTCGTGTTTGGGTAAGGGTTTTTAGCGTGAGTCAAGAGACCACTCTTTCCTTAAAATCTTATTTGCCACCTCCCACAAGTGCTAGGAGCGTCGTGGCCTAGGTTTCCCAGGATAAAACGCGCTACGGTTCGACGTTTGAGCACCCAAACGAGCGAACCCGGCGAACTAGAGCAAAGCTATGAACACAGTTTAGGCAAAGAAAGGAATAGAAGCAGACTTTTGAGGCGAGAAACCACTTTCTGTGTTGTGTGTTCTTGTCACTATGTGCTTAGAAAAACTGCTGCACTCTACCCCTTCTTATATAGGGATGTAGGTCCTTAATAGCATTGATCATGGCCATTAAACTTGGCTTTGTAACACCTGAAACCGCAAGGCATCCCATGGGATTTAAATTCAAAAAAATTAAATTGGAATTAATTGAAAAATTAATTCCGTAACTGTAGAATTGAATCCCGGGGCCAGCCAATTTTCGCGGCAAACGAGCTCTCTAGTTGGAATTTGATTTGCACCCCCCCTCCCTCCCCCCACGCGAGAGAGCCTCTATGTTATACAATTCTAAAAGCTCTAAAAAAGCTCTTGTATAAAAGGGGGGTCAAATCCTCTTTCCAAACCAATGTGGGTCAAAAGCTCACTTTTTCCCTTCATTTTTCCAACTCAATGGGTCTACTTTGAGAATCAATATCTCATTCACCCATTATCCGTTTTGAGCGTACAATATATCAATCTCTTCGTCTCACTACGAAGAACCTGAATCCACTTTGACCCGACCTAAATCGGAAGTGGACCCCACCGATAATTGTACCACAAAATAGCCACTTAAAATGTCATTTTAATGCTATTTTTCCAACAGTAAATGTGGTTGGGGAGTTCATTGATGGACAATTTGCAATCGAGAGTTGTTCCTTGGCGACAACCCGCGGTGAGAAGATTGCATGTGTTTCTGCAGCGGCGGAGCGGCGTGGCCACGGCGTCACCCCCACACCCGACATTCGAGAAGCCACCGCCATGGTATTAACCGTGCGTAATGCACAAGCGTGTCGAACACAGGCTCCAGCAACTCAGACCTCGCCGACAACCCCCTACCACTTCCCACCGCCGAAACGGCGCCTCTACCTGAGAAGAAACTCACGGAAAATGCAAAAGTGAAGAACAACACGAAAATGAGGAGCAGAACACGAGGAGATGCCGTTGGCAATAATTCCTAGACCCTGTTTTTGCAGAGAACGGTGGAAAACTATGAGCTTTGCTCTGTTCTTCATTCTCCTTCCTTTGAATAAAAGAGGGAAAGCGAAGCCCAAGAGAGAGAGAGAGAGAACAGAAACCCACAAGGAAATCGGGAATTGCTTTCTAACTCGTCTAGACCTTTCTTTCAATGGATTCACTAGGAGCATCCCCAAGGAAATCGGGAATTGCTCGAGAATGGAAGTCCTTTTTGCTCAGGAATAATCATTTTCATGGGGCTATTCCAGTAGAGTTGGGTAATTTGTTTAATCTTGCACTTTGAATTTGAGCAACAACATGATTTTGGGTCCTATTCTTGTCGAGATTGGGAAGCTTTCTTCCCTGGTTGAGTTTGCTGCATTCTCACAGGCCCTTTGCCTCAGTCTCTTGGTAATCTTATGAATTTGCGGATATTTCGAGTCAAGCAGAATGCAATTTTTTGGAAGTCTACCCAGAGAGTTAAATGGCTATAAGAACCTGCAAATTCTTGGTTTGCTCAAAACCAACTCGGAGGAAATATCATGAGAGAGCATGGAAATTGGAGTGCTTACTTGGTTGATTGAAATTGTTATTTGGATGTGAAATGACCGAACACAATTAAAGTTGAATTGACGCAAACCTAACCGAGGATCATTTTGGGTGAATTTTTAAAAGTCAAGGGACCACATTCAGTGCAATTGAAAGTCGAAATGAAAAATTGAAAATGAGCAATAGTCGAATGACCATTTTGGGAAAAAACTCATATTAGTTTTATCAGTTTATGTCATACTATACTCCTTATATTATTGTCAAAGAAAAATTTTAGAATGATTGGTCAAACCAATAGTAATAGCCCCACAGGGTAATTAATAATATTTAAACTATTTATATATAATAAAAAAATTATTATATTTGTTATGTTCGTGGAACATACAAAAAAATTCTTTTACACTTAATACAACAAATGGTTCTTTAACTATTGGCCAAGATTTGAGTACACAAACACCATAGACTAATGAAAATCTTGAAATACGGGTTTTGGAATGTGTAGTGAGTAACGTCAATATTTTCTTTCAGTTATCATTTATAGTTTTGTTTTAATTTTTAAACAATTATGTTGGTGATATATCGATTGCAAAATTGTATGTTCTTTAATTGGTTTGACTTGCCAATGTGTCCAATGTCAACGAAAATAAATTTTAAGTTATTGAAGAGGATTAATTTGAATGAATTAAAAAAAAAAAAAAAAAAAAAAAGAAGAAGAGAAGCTTAAAGCCAAATGTTACACAAATGGGAAGACCCACTAATTATCATCACAAATGAGTGATTATTTATGGTGTATTTATGGTGATGATTAGCATTATTCTCTATTGTTTGAAAGTGAAATCCGATTCAACGAGTAGTCATCTGTACAAACTTTCATCTAGTTAAAAAGTATGGCATTGTAATGCACTTTTATAACTTATGGATATATTGGAAGTGGAGCAAACTGATGCGGAGAAGCGAAGCAAGAAGGACTCGGGTAGACCCGGGGCCCTAGAATCAAGCCCGTGCTAGTTTATTAAATCATTTTAGAGTAATTTATAATATTTTTTTATATACTCCGTATTAGTTTTTCCAGCTTATGCCAAACTACTCCTCACATTATTGTTTGAGAAAAGTTTTAGGATGATCGGTCAAACCAACTGTAATAGCCTCGCAGGGTAATTAATAATATTTAAACTATTTACATATAATAAAATGTTGTAAGAATAAGGGTCAAATAGGTCATTCAGTTGCACACAATTTATATATTTATCTTGAATTAAAACTTGTAACAGTCTAGTGGAGGGCAAACGATTATGGTTTCAGAACTAGAATCGACCAACCCGAATCGAAGCATGATTCGACCTTCCCGCCTTCGAGCACGAGCCAGTTGCTATGATTCGGCCCCAAGGCGAATCCATCATGGTGCTGTTAGCTCGGCCCCAAGGAGAATCCATCATGGTGCTGTTAGCTCGGCCCATAATTCGGCCTCAAAGGCCGGGAAAAAGATACAAAAATCTGGCTTAACGTAACCCGCAAGGCTAGCCAATTTCAGGCTCATTTTGGAATTTGATTTGCAACCCCTCCCCCTATGCACGAGAGAGAACCTCTATGCTATACAATTCAATAAGTCTTAGAAATGCTCTTGTATAAATAGTGGTGCAAACCGACTTCCCAAACCAATGTGTGACAAAAGCTTAGGGGTCATTTACTTCATTTCTCTGTTTTTTCATTTCCAGTTTTCCATTTCTCAATTTCTCCAGTTTTCCATCTCCATTTCTCCAATTTTTCATTTCTCCAGTTTTCTAATTTTCATTCCATATTCCTCCCGTTTTTCATTTCTCTAATTTTCTGATTTCACTAAATACAATCATCCCATATATCATTTGTACATTTCTACAACAAAGATAATAATAATAATAATAATAATAATAATAATAATAATAATAATAATAATAATAATAATAATAATAATAATAATAATAATAATAATAATAAATCTGTAGGGAAGAGGAAAAAAAAGAAAAAAAAAAGAAAAACAAATAATAATAATCTAAAAACATAATAAGTGTGAATGAAAGTTATACCCTTTGTTTATGTCTGTTTTTTCCGTTAAGTTTTTTTTTATACATTATGCTATAAAGGTTGTACTTTATAATATTTTGGACAAACATACCCCTACCGTTATAACTTCGGTTATCTTTTCCACTATTGTTACCATGCACATGCATCCACCATATATTTTCTTATCTTATTCAATAATAATAATAATATTTATACATTATAATTTGGAGTTATTTCCTAAAATATAAATATCGAATGTATAAAAATGTTTACACTATTATTATTATTATTATTATTATTATTATTATTATTATTATTATTATTAATTTAAATATTAAAAATCTTAATATAAAATACTAATATTGGGCATCTAATTTTTGCACATCGCGCATCAGAAAATACTAGTAATAATAATAAGAGCGTAAAGGAGAATAACAAAGAAAAGGAAAAAGGAAAAAGACTTCTAAAATGTGCACAACAAAATTTGA